ATTCTTGAGATATCTAGAGAATTTGGAACATGGATTACAATTTCCAACGGCCTCTCTATCTAATATATAACGCCAACACGAAAGGACCCTTGGAAACAGTGCGACCCGAATATCAGAAGTATAGACATGGCAGGTCTGTTTGACAAGCAGGCAGAGACCTACCTCCAAGCGAGACCAACATATCCAAGTGAATGGTACTCGATGCTTGCCGCCCGCACCTCTCATCACTCTTTGGCTTGGGATGTTGGCACCGGCAACGGTCAAGCTGCTCTTGGCGTTAGTCTCTCTCTCCTTTAAGCAATTTTTGAACAAGAATATGTTGGATCAAATTATAACGGCGAAGTGATTCGCCAATATAATAATACAGTCCTTCACTCATTGATTAAAATCTTTCTTGATTGCTGACCACAAATATGTCGGTGACATAATTTTGCCAGGTTGCAGACCATTACGAGCAAGTGATAGCGACCGACGTTAGCGATGCTCAACTAAGTTTCGCCATGCCACATCCTCGAGTTCGCTACGTGCACACTCCACAATCCATGTCAGAGGATGAAATGGTGGTCTTGATGGGGGGCGAAAATCGGGTCGATCTGATCACCGTTGCTACCGCAGTGCACTGGTTTGACCTTCCAAAGTTTTACAAGCTGGCCAAACGCCTTCTGCGTAAGCCAGGAGGTACACTAGCCGTTTGGGCTTATAATGACGTGGTTGTTAGTCCCGAATTCCACACCATAACTAAGCGCCTCCGCGAAAAATCTTTGCACTTTTGGCACGCGGATGCCCAGTACGTAATAGACGGATATAAAAATCTTCCCTTTCCTTTTGAGAGTGTGGGTTTAGGTAAGGAGGGAGAACCGATGCAACTCGACATTCCAAAAGAGCTCTTGTTCGAAGGGTGCTTGAAGTTTTTAAAATCATCATCAGCATATGCCTTCGCCAAGGAACAAGGGGTGGATCTGTTATCTGAAGAAGTGATTAAAGAGCTTGAGAGTTCTTGGGGAGGGCCTAATAAGGTTAGAACTGTCACCTACAAGGCTTTCATGTTTGCAGGAACAGTCACAGAGTAAGCCTTCAGTTGCATAATTAGTTTGCAAGATTTGATTTCCTCAATAATAAGTTTGACTTTTCTCCAGCAATGATTCCCAGTTTCTCTTCTCACATAACTTGAACAACTAGTTTATGACAAATACCAAAGGTTGGAACCGGGCCGTCCAGTTAACTGCATAGCCACTGTATCAGCAGAGCATGTATGAGGTGCATGTTAGAGCATGAGTTAGGCTAAAATTGAGATTTATTAAGAGGCGTTCTAGTGGACCACAGAATAATAAGGATGACGTACTTGTTAGCGCATCGATGAGGAATGTCTCTTAGTAAGTTCGAGGACATCAATGGATATAGGAGGAGCTCCGAATTGTAATGTGTCATCATCAGCATTTGCAGCAGCCAAAGAGTAAGGGGTGGATTTGTTATCTAAGGAAGTGATCAGAGAACTTTAAAAGAGAAGTTGATGAGGGCCTAATACTATCGGAAATATCATGGACTAAAATCTTAAGCTGCTAAATGAAGACATGATTTAATATTTAAATATTCTAACATATCATATGCTTGCAGGAACAATGAGGCAGTGAATCTAAAGAGTATAGACATTAACATTCAAAGAAGATGCTAAAGTTCTCAACATTTTCGATGCACCTTACTTTGCTTGCATTCTAAGCACTTTCTTAGGAGTACAAATATCTCAAACAAAAATCACTAGTTCAAAAGAGTATTTCGGTACTTATCGGTATTCAATGATTGGTATGAATTAGACTGAGACGTCTCATCTTGCCTACAATAGCAAAGCAATAACTAGTTTTGTCCTGATGGTGAAACCAAACTCTCCACCACAGTCACTAAATCAAATGGCCCCAATGTCGAAAGGAGTCGTGTCAGTACCACGCTCGGATTCCACGAAATCAGCTCACGTTGGTAGGTATCCATAATAAGCTCACCACTCCACGTGAAGCCGTGAAATCTCGACACTCCCTCATTGAAATCTAAGGTGTGCAACTTAGTCCAGGACTCGGCTACGCCATATTCCGTCGTAACCCAAATGTAACACATATTGTTCAATAGACCACTCGGGTCCACATGATTAATCAGCAGCACCAAAGAGCTATTCAAAACTGCCAAATAAACATAATCATATGTGACTCCAACGAGACAACTCTTCGGAAGTGCTATCTCATTGAAGACCTCAGCCGCTACCCCAATTGTGATTATTGATCCATAACACCAACAACGGTCTTCATCGGCAACGATCGAGATCCAATGCAAATTTCCATTGAAAGAGACTGTCGAGAGGTCACTCACTTGCACCCGTTGTTGAATTCAACCGTTCACCAAATATCTGTACTAAGGCTATAAACTTCAACTTCAGATTCTAACCCGCCCATGTATCCCTCATATTTATCACGAAAATAAGTAATCCTAACAACCTTATAGTCATTAATCCTGTCGCTGTATCCAAATCCTAGAACCAGACTAGTGTCAACAAAATCCGGAGGGGAACTCTTGACCTCCTTGTATTTCCTAGTGAATAAATTCGGCAAAAGTACACTAGAAGTGCCATAACTTGTGTACGACGATCACTTTGGTGCCATAACTTTTTTTCGGATCACTTTGGTGCCAAGTCGGAGGAAAATCGATCACTTTAGTGACTCCGGTCAAAAAGCTGACCTGGCATTTATACTAAAAAAAAAATGGTCTGACTTGTACACGGTGGAAATTACGTGGCTTTTTTTCGAATTTTTTAATTTTTTTTTTTTAAAAAAAAGTTGCAGCAGCGGCGAGGGCTCCCTCGCCGCTACTGCCGCCAACCCACCACTGCCGAGAAGGGCCGGCGGTGGTGGGCGCAGTGGGGGGCCGGCGACCCTTGCCGACCACTGCGCCCACCACTGCCGGGCCTTCCCGGCGGTGGTGGGTTGGCGGCAGCAACAGCGAGGGTTTCCTCGCCGCTGCTGCCGTTTTTTTTTATTTATTTTAAATATAATTTAATTTTTTTTTAAAAAAATACACGTCAGCGGGCTAAACGGCGTCGTTTTTGGTTTTCATCGTTTTTGGTTTTTAATGCTGACTGGACCTCTCCAGCGAGCCGTGTCAGCGCCACATCGGATTTCCGGCGAGCCACGTCAGCATTGGCACTAAAGTGATCGATTTTCAAAAAAGTTGGCACCAAAGTGATCCGAAAAAAAATTATGCCACCAAAGTGATCGCCGTACACAAGTTATGGTACTTCTAGTGTACTTTTGCCGAATAAATTCCATAGAAATATCATATGACCGCCACACCCAGGGTTAGCCTCAGCAACGCATATCAATCCATTGCACGAACCCACGACACTATAATGGGCTATAGGGCTAATGAATGGAACTTCGATTTCTAATAGAGAAGCCGTAGTAAGAGACTTATTTGGATACAGAGAGCTCATTTGATCGCGATAAAACTACCAATCCATGAGAAGAAAGTATCCATTCGTGCTACTGAGAGCGGAGTGCTTCAAGTGCATGGCCACGAAGTTAGGATCATTGATCATGCACCGCCACAATTTAGAGACACATTTGAATCTCATGAGAAGCTTCACTGGCAATCTCTTGAGGATTTCGAGGACTATCTCAAGAGGGAGGTTCTCGTTTTGCCTCATCATCGATGGAGCAAGGCGAATCAAAGTAAAAAACCAAGGTTGATTCCGATTAGATTAAGGGTGATTTTGTGAGATCTAAATGTTATGTTCTCATGGAAGAGGATTAAAGTTGCTCATCATACTTAGCCTTTGTGTTGTCCATCAAGTCCAATTTTGTAACCCTGGACTTCTTATGGAGTGGTCTTTAGAGGGAAATAAATCTTAATATCATAAAAGACCGTACTGATGTTAGAATTACAGTGACAGCGAACCTATTCATTCCATCTCTATCTCGCGGCTATACGAGGCCCGCTCAAAGGCCACACATCGACCTCTTACGGCCATTTCGTATTTGATCATACCAATGATTCTCATGGTCTTCAACTACGAGTGCCAGGGCGTGATCTAAATTGGGCCGGCGGCCCCTGACTGAAACGACTGCAAATGGACCTCTATCAACGAGACCGCGATATTTTTAACTTTAATTCGTTGTATTAATATTAACTTCTACCATTTGGATTGATTAAGTTTCCCTAATCAGGCAATGAATTCGCTAGAGTTCTCCATAGGCGGGTTGTCAACTCATGTTGGTGCCAATTTTGGATAAATACCTAGGATAACTTCTACTTCAAAGTTAGCAACAAACATATCTCCAAAAAGTACAAACCAGTGCCACTGGTCCGCCAGCGAGCCCAAGCTTTGACAAATCGAAGCATTCCAACTCCGATAAGAAAATAACGAGAAAGAAGGCCGGCCGGTTTGCCATCGGTTAAACCATGCACATGTGGTCTTCGTATTCTCTGTGGAACACATAGGTTAGATGTCGTTTACTATTTCAATTGGAAGGTCACCTTGGTTCAGATGGCTACATGGTCATCATCAGCTTGTTGCGGCAGACAAAGAGCAAGGGGTGGATTTGTTATCCATGGAAGTGATAAGAGAACTTTCAAAGAGTATTTTTTTTTTCTGGTCAAACATCTTTCAAAGAGTGGTTGATGAGGGTCTAATACTATCAGATTTGTCAAGCACTAAAAGTTTAAGCTCTGAAATAAATACGTAATTTAAGACTTAAATATTCTAACAGCTTGAATGCTTGCGGGAACAATCTTGAGAATATAGACGTTAACATTCAAAGAAGATGCTCGAGTTGTTGGCAGTTTCGATGCACCTTATTTTGCTTGCATTACAAGCACTTTCTTAAGAGTACAAATATCTTCGACAGAAATCACAAGTTAATAAGAGTACCTTGGTTCTTATCCTTCTTTAATAATTGGCATGAATTGGATTGAGACATCTCATCTTGCCTACAATAGCAAAGCAACAACTAATTTTGTCCCTATGGAGTAACCAGACTCTCCACCACAGTCACTAAATCAAATGCCCCCAATGTCCAAAGGAGTCGCGTAAGTCCCACGCTCGGATTCCACGAAATCAACTCATGTTGGTACATCTCCATAAGAAGCTCGCTGCTCCTCGTGAAGCCATGAAATCTCGACACTCCTTCATTGAGATCTAAGGTGTGCAGCTTAGTCCACGACTCGGGCACGCCATATTCCGTCATAATCCAAATGTAACACTTATCGTTCAATTGACCTCTCGGGTCCACGTGATGAATCAGCAACACCAGCGAGCTGTTTAAAACTGCTAGATAAGCACGGTGGTATGTGACTCCAACGAGATAGCTCTTCGGTAGCGCCATCTTGTTGAAGACCTCATATGCTAGCTCAAATGTAATTATCGATCCATAACACCAGCAATGGCCTTCATCGACATTGATCAAGATCCAATTCAAATTTCCATTGAGAGAGACTGTTGAGAGGTCGCTAAACTCGCACCCAATGTCGAATTCGACTGTCCGCCACAAATCTGTTCTAAGGCTATCAACTTCACGTTCTAATCTGCCCAAGTATCCTCTATATTTATCATGAAAATAAGTAATCCTAATAACTTTGTAGTCATTTATCTTGTCACTGTATCCAAATCCTAGAACCATATGAGTGTCAACAAAATCCAGAGGCGAACTCTGAACCGCCTTGTACTTTCTAGTGAATAAATTCCACATAAATATCATCAGATTGCCATCTTCAGGATTAGCGTAAGTAACGCAAGTCAATCCATTGCACGAACCCACGACCCTATAATTGCCCATAGGGCTAATAAATGGAACTTCGACTTCTGACTGAGAAGCCACAGTAATGGACTTATCTGGATACAGAGAGCTCATAGGATGGCGAGAAAAGTTCCAATCCATGAGAAGAACATACCAATTCGTTCCATTGAGTGTGGATTGCTTCAATTGCATGGCCACGAAGTCAGGATCATCGATAGTGCACAGCCACAATTTGGAGATGCATTTGAATCTCATGAGAGGCTTCACTGGCAATCTCTTGAGAATTTCAAGGTCTATCTCATGAGGGAGGTTCTTCTCCAGCCTCATCGTCGTTGCAGCAAGGTGAATCAAGGAAAAAAGCTTAAAAACCAAGGTTTTAAGAGTAATTTCGTGAGATCTGAATGTTCTGATCTCTAAGAGGAGGATTCAACGTTGCTCATCATACTTAGTGTTTGTGTTGTCCATCAAGTCCAATTTTTTAACCCTGGACTTCTTATGTAGTGGTCTTCAGAGGGAAAGAAATCTCCCTGTCCTAGGAGAACTTTCTGATGTTATAATTACAGCGAAAGCGAATCTATTCATCCATCTCTATCTCTTGGCTGTCTGAGGCCCGCTCGAAGTCCACATATCGACCTCCTACAGCCACTTCCAATTGATCACATTGGCGATTCGCATGGTCTTCAACCGTGAGTGCCAGGGCAGCGATTTCAATTGGCCCGGAGGCCCCCAATGGAAACAACTGCAAATGGAACCCTATCATTGACGGCTGCCATATTATTAACTATAATCCGTCGTATTACTGTTAACTTCTGTCATTTTTTACGGATTAAGTTCCCCAAATCAGGCAGTGAATTCGCTAGATTTCTCAATAGGCAGGTTGTCAACTAATGTCGGTGCCAAGTTTGGATACATATCTAGGATAAAACATTTTAACCCCACATGAATATACTGAATTTGCTCTGCATTGCCATAATGAGTTGCTGACTAAGAGCTATCCTAGTAGGTAGAGTATCTATTCTGGATCTTCCTAATGCTTCCTTAACTAGAGCTGATTAATGAATTATATCCTTACTTGACTTGTCATCGATGATTGTGATGATACTATTAGCTATTACGAATTACAGTATTGATTCCACATCAGACATTCATTTTCAAAATCGACAGTTCATTATCACGTTTCCTAAAGACAAGAATGGTGGACTGCCAGGTAATAATATGCATTCTTATTCTCAGTTTATTTCCTTTCCGAACTACCGAGTTCGTAACATGCTTGAGTAGGAAAAAGGGGCGAAATTTCCGGTTAGATCACAGGAAAGATTTCATGTAAGTAACGTAATAATTGGCGGCCTCATAATTTTTTCTTGGTGATTCCGCAGTAATCTAAGCTCTTGAAATTTCGTTTTGTTCGATCGAGGACTTAAACAGTTTCGTATGTTTTCAATCACCCTCGTGGGATTAAACTCCTAAATTAGCCGAGTTTCTAACATATTTTATAATTTCAGGAAAATCTAAAAATCTCTCTCTCTCTCTCTCTCTCTCTCTCTCTCTCTCTCTCTCTGCTAATCCTAATCCCCCATCATTATGTATAGGCAATAACAGATCAGTTTTCTCAGTCTCTTATCTTGGGCTTTTTCCCCATTCCACTATACTAAATGTTTGGCTTCGTGTTCGGCATCTCGACTTTTGCCGTTACGGAAAATTTTATTATTCCCTGAAACATTTACCGAGTTTAATATGACAAAGAGAAGCTTTGAGTAAAGTACACCCTCCCACAGTATTACTGCAACTCTACTCAATTCTTTTGTGCGTTTATTTCACAAGTATGGTCCCTACGGATTGTACTCCTGCAGATATATTGGTATTCTTTCATGGCAAGAAAATTTTCTTGTTTGACAAGAAAGCAGGGGACTAATTCCACATGAGTTGCATCACTGCTTGGACAAATCGGCATTGACTCGGTCAATCTACTCCAATGTACTTGTAAGGTGAGAAAACACAGACGTGTCTATATGATGCAGAATCTATTAGTGAAGCGTTTCTGGACTGGTTGGACAGGCAGAAGTCCAAACGGAAGGCGAAACGGTGATGCGACTAGAACCGGCGGACCCAGTTGACAACATCGGATCGGGCTCAAATTTGGTCGTTTTAAGCGAAACGGCGTTCTGAACAAAACTCACGCCTTTAGCTGTGACTAACGATGGATTTTAGCGATTCGGAATCGTTTACATGGGTTTTTCTATTTTTTTAATAATTATTTATGGGTTTTAATTTTAAGGGCAGTTTTGTAATTTTTATGTTTTATGTTTTCTAATCCTAGTAGGGTTTGGTTTAGGGATATATGCTAAGTTTAGCAAGTGCGAGTTTTGGCTTAACCGAGTGGCGTTTCTTGGACATATAATTTTCGGATAAGGAATCTCCGTGGATCCGGCAAAGATTGAAGCAGTGATGGATTGGCCGAGACCGACGACAGTTATTGAGGTCCGAAGCTTCTTAGGACTAGTAGGTTACTATCGACGATTCGTGGAAAGGTTCTCAGCAATAGCCACTCCATTGACAAGGTTGCTTAAAAAGAAGATGAAGTTTGAATGGACGGAAAAGTGCGAAGAGAGTTTTCAGGAATTGAAGCAAAGATTGACGACTGCGCCAGTGCTAACGATCCCTTCAGGACCGGGAGGATATGAAATTTATAGCGATGATTCGCTTAAGGGATTGGGATGCGTTCTAATGCAATGGTTGCTTATGTATCGCGTCAGTTAAGGCCTCATGAGATGAACTACTCGACTCACGACTTGGAGCTAGCAGCAATCATTTTCGCGCTTAAGATTTGGAGGCACTATTTATGTGGAGAAAGGTTTCGGATTTTCACGGACCACCAGAGTCTCAAGTACCTATTTTCTCAAAAGGAGCTAAATATGAGATAGCGTCGTTGGATGGAGTTGCTGAACGACTATGACTGTGATATTCAGTATCATCCCGGAAAAGCCAACCGAGTAGCAGATGCCCTAAGTCGAAAGTCGAGCATCGCCCAGTTAATGGTCAAAGAGTGGATCTTATTGGAAGTAGCGCGGGACTCAGAGTTTAAGTTCGAGGTAGGACACCTCTTCAGTCTGATGGCGATGTTAAGGATTAAACCGGAGGTGCAAACCAAGATTAAGACGTTGCAGTCTACGGACCCTGAGATTCAAAAGATTCTAGAGATGGATGGCACTAAGAGGAAACCGGACTTCCAAGTGTCCAAGGATGGAATTATGAAGTTTCGAAGACGTTTGTGTGTGCCCGACGATTTGGAGCTTAAGGAAGAGATTTTATCGGAAGCTCATAGGAGCAATTATAGCATTCACCTGGGCAGTACGAAGATGTACCAGAACCTTCGACAGCATTATTGGTGGAATGGAATGAAGGTGGATGTGGCCAAATGTTTGACGTGCCAGCAAGTGAAGGCACAACATTGTAAACCTGGTGGAATGTTGCAGCCGTTGAAAATCCCAGAATGGAAATGGGAGCATATCATGATGGATTTCGTCACGGGATTACCAAGGAGCCAGAGGGGACACGATTCTATCTGGGTGATAGTGGACAGATTGACCAAGTCAGCGCACTTCCTGGCAGTGCGAAAGGACTTCAAGCTGGAAAGGTATGCGGAATTGTACGTGCGGCAGATTGTCCGACTGCATGGGGTGCCAGTGACGATCACTTCGGACCGTGATCCCCGGTTTACTGCTAATTTTTGGAAAAGTCTGCAAGCGGCCCTAGGAACGAAGTTGCAGTTCAGTACGGCCTATCATCCGCAGACGGATGGCCAGTCTGAAAGGACTATTCAGACATTAGAGGATATGCTGAGAGCATGTGTGTTAGACTTTCAGGGCAAGTGGGAAGAACAGTTGCATTTGGTTGAATTTGTCTACAATAACAGCTTTCAGCAGAGTATTGGGATGACACCGTTTGAAGCACTTTATGGCAGAGCGTGTAGGACACCGTTGTGTTGGGATGAAGCGGGAGAAAGAAGCGTAACGGGTCCAGAGTTGGTTCAGCAGTCGGTAGAAACGGTAAAGATTATCCGGAAAAGGCTAAGGACAGCTCAGAGCCGTCAGAAGAGTTATGCGGACTGAAGGCGTAGACCATTGGAGTTTAAGGTTGGTGACCACGTTTTCCTTAAGATCTCACCGATGAGAGGACTGTCTCGGTTTGGCAAGAAAGGAAAGCTGAGTCCAAGGTATATAGGCCCGTTCGAGATTTTGGAGAGGATTGGAACGTTGGCTTATCGTCTCGCCTTGCCGCCGAATTTGTCGCAAGTTCATAACGTCTTCCACGTGTCAATGTTGAGGAAGTACGAACAAGACCCGACCCACGTGCTGAATCATGAAGTGATTAACGTGGACGACAGGGTGTCGTACGTGGAGAGACCGGTGCGAATCGAGGACAGGAAGGAGCAGGTTTTGAGGAATAAGACAATCGCGATGGTTAAAGTAGTCTGGGAGCATCATGGAACAGAATGTGCCACATGGGAGAGCGAAGAAGCAATGCGACGTCAGCACCCCCATTTATTTGAGTAGTCGGGTTTGGAATGTAAATTTCGAGGACGAAATTTTGTAAGGGGGGAAGAGTTGTAACATCCTGAATTCGACCCACTTTCGTGATCAATGAAATGGATATGTATTTCTCATTTCGTTTTAGTAAGTCTCGTCCGGAACTGATCATTCACGGGATACTGACCAATAGGGAATGTCTAACTAGGAAAACGGTACGTGGACCGAAGAACTCGACCGCGAATCGAGCCGATTCCGAGAAACGACGAGAGAATATTTTGGGCCAATGCGGGCCGATCCAAGGAGGGTGACGGATTTGGTTTGGCCGACAACGTACGATCGGATAGCGGGTGATTCCGCACGACCGAGAGTACGCGTGGCGAACGATCCCGAACTTATTCCGAACGATCGCGACCCCCGGAACTAGCGATAAATCCTCGCGTTGTCTTGGAAATCGAGACCGTCACATTTGGGAGACGCGTAAGTCGATACGCGTAACCCCTAAACAGCCACCCGTTAGTGAGAGACGCTAAAAATTGAATTTGAGCGAGATTGATCGTTGAATTGAATCCGGACTTTGGTGTCGAATTTTACGGACGTACGCGACTATTTTTGCAAGGACGACGTCGTATTAGTGTGGCCAATCACATTTGGGATCGGTAAGGTCGAAAAATGGAATTTCGGTCTTGGACCGGAAAATTACCGATTTGCCCCTAAGCCCTAAGTGCAAATTCCGAATTTTGGGGATTAATTTGGACTAATCAGCGCCCAATAATGCTGGAAATGGTGGACCAAATTGCC